CTTTTCAGATAATTGCAGGGCAAGTGTTGATACGAAATATGGCTTTCTACTATGACTTATTAATACTTCACTTTGTTTGAAATGAACTTGACAAGTTAATTAAAATTCAAGTTTATTTTAAAAAATAGTTCTCTTTGCAAATGGTGTATTCATACACTTGGTAATAAGTTTTTTTGGGTTTTGTTTTTTTCATTTTGTCTCATTACTGATTTGACCACATTACAATTGACAACAACACAGGATTAAAGGTAGTTCAACATTAATTTTAGGGCAGATTGCCATAAAATTTTATAAAATTTACATGGCATACTAAAATGGACAAAATTATTTATTTTAGGATAGGTCTAGTAACATAAAGATTCAAGGACCTAGTACTTTGCTTTCAGTCCTCTGAAGTATGTGGATTAATAAATGTGTGCAGAGGTATTTGACCAATGCCTCTTGTCTTGGAAGTGTGCAGGCAGAGTGACCGATTCAAGGCAGGGAGGACGTCACTTAAGTCCGCACTGTGGGCGAGTTCTGTGACAGCAGTCAGGAGGCCCACTCTTGCCTTCCTTCTGCAGTAGTTAACTTTACTGCTGTTGGCTTTCTAATTTGTAAAGTAAGGACTTTTATCAGGTGAACTTTAAGGCTTTTAACTATAAAACTCTGAAGTGTTGCTTATTGTAATGTCAAGATCTGATCATTTCAGACTGTTACTTGTAAAATATAAGTGTTTATTCTTAACAGTAGTAAAAGGTGAATTTTCTAATGTTCTCTTCATTCCCATGATACTCTAAGCTTCCCGTTCACCTTCCATATACTTCAAAAATAGTCTCGTGGGGTATTATTATTACCCAACATGGAGATTATAAAGATATTGTAAAATGAGGCCGAATGCCTCATTGGATCTCTGTAGAGCAGCAATCAAAGCCTTGGTTGATACCTGAGACTGTAGAAGGAAATACTTAAGAAACAACCACTTTTCTAACTCTTTGGACTCTTACGTATCGTCCCTAAAGAAGAGGACAAGACTATTTCTCATTTTATTAAGTCTAGCTAATGCTTTGTTTCGTGTAAGCCCCTCTGTTTTTATCTTATTTCCTTTGCTTGTACCTCTTCCCATTTCTGTTTTCTCAGACCCCACAAACTTAGATTGATTTTTACCCTTTGAGGTACTGAATGTTTTCTTAAATATCTGGAATGTTCAGAAAGGAAATACTGCTTTAGTATAGAACTAATAATATTGAAATTTTTTGGAGTTAACCTTGGAAATTCTTCTAAATCCCAGAGAATATGCCTATATTGAGGGAGTTTTCTTTTTTATGACTAAAATGTAGATTATGAAGTCTTTCTTGAATGAGTAGAACTGAGAATTTAAACTTCTTTTTTTGTTGACCTGTCCACCTAAATGTGACATAGAAATTATGGTTGAATTTTATATATATTAAAATATAAGTGTGACCTGGTTTGTTTATGTAATTTCTGTATATTCCCTATTTCTGATTGAATTTCCCATTTTGAAGTAAACATTTTATATTAAGTTGTGAACGCCTAAGGAAAGGATTGCCATTAGGTAACCAGCTGTGGTCATTAATTCACCCCTGGGTTTGTTTTTGCTAAAATCATGAGAATATATGATTCACAGATCCCTAATACTTGAATTCTTTGATGATATATATTTTTAAGGTAGTACATAGTAAAATTGATTATTTTGATGTG